CCTCTCCCCCCCCAAAACCACCACCACCCTTCCCCCCAAGCACTTGGCCACTCTTTCGGGTACCCTACATCAAGCACCGACCACCAAAAATAGTAGTTTTGTGAAGATAAGCTAAGGGGTCGTCATGGTGGCGTCGCGGGCTCGCACCAGCTACAAGCACATAATCAGTGGTACCTTTGAGAAGAACGAACCCTTTCTGAATCTAACACCGAAATCACCGAGTAAATGTGCAAGATTGGCATAGAAAATTCGCACTTCTGCCCGCGAGAGCCAAAACATTGGTTGTACCAACACCGCACACTCCAGAGGAAAGAGCTCTGCCTGAATCTGACATTGAAATCACCAAGTAAATGAGCAAGATTGCCTTAAGACGTCGTGCTTTTCGCCAGCAACGAGTGTGTACATCACAGGGGGTACCAACACCACACCTTCGAGACGGAAAGACGCTTAAGCTTCCCGAATCTGAAACTGATATCGTCAAATCAATGTGTGAGATTGATCTAAAACAGCAGACCTTAGGGTCCTGGCACAACCCGCCATCTCTGGATATCATTATTGCCAATAACAACAACAACAACAAAAGCAAGCAAGAAAGAAAGAATTCTTATGTGGACTTTAGAGTACTGTACACACTTGATTGGGCACTGCGCTGTGTGAAAACTGGGACAGTGGGCAACACTGAGTTCCACACACAAGCTGCTGCGTCGGATGGGGCGTTCAGCTGTGAACATAGTAAAGACCCTTTCCGCCGCCCACGCATTCTGCCCGCAGTGGCCCCCCCACCCCCTCACTGGCGACCTTGCTCCCTCAACCAGGATTAAAAAAAAAGAAGGCACCCCTGTGTGGCCTTCACCCACCCAACAAGGCGCAGCTGCGCCCCCCACTCCCTCCGTTGGGCCCTCAGTGACATGTGCAAGCTGCTGCGTCGGATGGTGCGTTCAGCTGTGAACATAGTAAAGACCATCTCCGCCACCCACGCATTCTGCCCGCAGTGCCCCCCAACCCCCTCCCTGGCGACCTTGCTCCTCTACCAGGATTTAAAAAGAAAAGAAGGCACCTATGTGTGGCCTTTATCTACCCAACAAGGCGCAGCCGCGCGCCCCCC